TGATTCAAGTATAACGGATACCTGTAGGACTTAGAGAAAATCCTAAGGTCGAAAACTCCAACGTGTAGAATCAGCTGTCGCAGCCTTTCAGCTTAGACGTTAAGATAAACAAAAAATAACCCGGTGACAACGCTTAGATATCTGGTTAAATCATTGGGTTTTTTTGTTAATATAGTAACTGGATTATTCAAATAGGTGCTGTAAAATGATATATCATTTGTTATTGCTTCAAAAGTTACTATAAAGGATTTTTCTAAATTAACTTATATTGAATTAAGGTCAAAAAGGACTGTGCTATGTCAAAAATGTTTTTTAATTTAGTGCAACTATCAGTGATTTATATTGTGTCATCCATATATACTGAATTGAGAATAGAAGTTGTAATAGATTTTATTTTTATATTATTAATGTTAGGAGACCATAATATATCTAAGGTATAACCTAGATTTGAATTTTACATGCGAGAGAGAAGAGGATCATAATAGATAACCCATAAAAATGGAGAGATGACCTCTCCTTGATTAATGCCAATAAGGATGTCATAAAAGTCAGTATTATGGTGCGGCGCATCTATACTCATCAAATGGTCTAAAATTTAATTTTCATTAAAGTCACGTGAAAATATTTTTATTGGTCAATATGTATGAATACGATTGGCCACAATCTTTATTTCTAGATGAATTTAATTTGATTTAATTCTTCGATAATTTCATCTGGAATTCTTTTATGAGACCTATATTTTTTAACAGCATATTCGGCTAATTTTTTACCGATTCCCTTTTGATATATATCCATATAACACCAAGCTTTTTTTGCAAACCTTCTAATTGTAACTAATGAAACTGAATTAAGACTTTGAGGTACAATCTCTTTTAAACCTACTCACGAATAATTGCAATTTTCTCTTGCATGTCTTTTTGCAACCCCCCAATAATGTTTAATAAAATTAAGTTCATAATGGAACTTTAGGTAGAAAATACATTTGTGACCTGCTCTCTCAATAATTTCAGCAATTGCATCCCTTTGAGCAAGAAAATCTGGTTCTAAAGACATTACCCAACATGCATAACAATTAATTCAATTTTCATCATCTTTCTTCTCTTTACATTCTTTACATTCTAACAATAATCTACCATTATGCCATTTTCCTCGTTCTTGAAGTATTTGTTTTAATCCCTTAGGTTGACCTCGAAGCTTTTCATTTGGATGGTTATCAGAAAATACTATTGATTGCAACTGGTTATCAGAACCCCAATATGTATCATGCATTTTTGGTTACAAACCACCGGGATTTAAATTAATTCGCTTCAATATTAATGCATCTTTTGCAAATATTGCATGATTTGAACTGTTGTCAAATGCAAAAACACCAACATAATTTGGATAAAGAATTTCAAATATAGGAATTACCTTAGTCTTTATTTGGTTAAGAACATTTTCCGATGTCCAATAACCTTCATGATCTTTTCCTGGCTCCAAATATTCACACGCTTCTGCTGGAACTATAGGATATTTCTCAATGTCTGCTGGTTTTACAGTCAACAACCAAAATTATGCGGACACTTTTTAAATTGAAAAATTTATATAAATAAAATAAAGTGGAAATAAAACAAAAAGTAAAATATATTTATTTTGCTTTTATTAATTGATTTTTACAAAAAAATTATGATACTAATATTTAATTCTATTGCTATTTGCGGCAATAACCACATTAATCCTCCGCGGCATGCTATCGATCAATTTTTTGTAATATTCCAGAGGAATATCTTTCCAAGCACTTTTAACATATTTTTCAAGTTCTCAGATATTAGATGGTGAAGGAATATAACGTCAAACTATCATTTTCATTTCCGCCCAAAAATTTTCGATTGGATTTAAGTCCAGACTTTGGGTGGGCCAAGGAAGCATCATAATTTCAGCACTTTTATGAGCAGCCGCAACAACTTTTGAACGATGCGGTGCAGCATTATCTTCTTGGAAAATTCCATTACTATGAGAAAAATACTTCTATAAAGTAGGAACAACATATTTTTGAATAGTTTCAGCATGTGTTTTACCAGTAACTGAACTATTTAAAGGAACAATTGGTCCAAGTCCATTCCAAGAAAAACATCCCCAAAACATTTTGCTTGGACTGTGTTTCACAGTAACTGAAATGCAATCAGGATTCAATTCTTCTCCTGGTTTACGCCATACTTTTCCTTGAAGTCCTTGTTGAAATTGTGTAAAAGTACTTTCATCTGAAAAAAAGCACTTTTCTCCATTGTCTTGTTGTTCATTTTTCATATGCGCGAGCTCATTTGAGATGAGTTTGACAATGTGCTTCTGTTATTGCAGGTTTGTGATGAGGAATACGAGCACTAAGTCCAACTTTTTTGAGGGTACGACGTATAGTAAATGCAGAAATGGGTTTTTTTGTACGAGCTATCTAAACAGTTGCAAGTTTTTTTGCACAAAGCCGACGATTTTCACCATTTTTTTGAACAAAAGCTTTAAGCTCTTATTGAGATGGTATATTAAGGAGTAGTGGGCGGCCAGTTTGTTTTTTTAGTGTGAAAGAACCAGTTTGACGATGGCGTTTAAGTACTTTATAAACAGCTGTTTTGTTACACCCCAAATTTTTAGCAATAGTTTGACCTGATTGTCCACATTTTTTGCCATAAATAATAGCACCACGGGTTTTTAGGGTGAGCGCCTTCATAATTTCATAAAGCTTTAACTAAAAGTAGAATAGCTAAAAAATTTTGTGTATATGTTTATCATATAAATAAATAAAAAATCGTAATGTTTATATCACGTGATCATATGATGATCTGCCCAATTTTGGTAAAAAAAAATTGTCCGCATAATTTTGGTTGTTGACTGTAATTGCAAACATCCATCAACTTCCGTTAAAAATTCACTAATCATAATTGATTTACCGTTGCCTTTTTTTCATAAAGGTAATTCACCATTTTTAGCCTAAACACCGCGTTATCCATCATTAGAATAAAAAACACATTCATCATGCATTACCAAAATGTGTTCTTTTTCACTTTCTGTTAAATTAGGTAAGATCCGATCCATATTTTCACCTTTGTAATGTGACATAAGTTTTTCATACTCAAAAATCTCCTTTAAGAATATTTTTCTATATTGAATTACATCTGCACATTTATGCCCATCATAATATATACCTTGCTTTTGTCTTTACTTTGTATATCTAAGGATATGAAGCCAACGAACTGCAGTTGAAATATTAATAGATTTTTTCTTATTGACTCCTAATTTAGATAATAATTTTTTTTCAATAAACTCTTTAAATTTTATAGGCGTGACTTGTAATTTTGATCACGAATCCAAACATGGCATTTTTCAACAACATCTTCATCATCAATTAATCGAATGGTTTTTTGATGCTTTCCTTGAAATAACATAGAGAGTGCATTGTGACCAAGCCAATAATTAGTCCAATATTGTATTTGTCAAGCTTTTCAAACTCCGCCATTAACAAAAACCATTTGTGCAATACTTAAACTTGCTTTCATTTTTCCACCACCATTTTTATCCAATAGTTTTAAATACTCAAAGATTGCTCGTTTCTTATTATATTCATTAACCTTCATTTAATTATGCCAATTTTCTAATTCTCTTTTTAAAGTCTTTATCTTTGCATCAATTTTATTCACTTCATATAAGTTTTCATTTTCTTCCTCCGATTCTGTCTCACTTTCTTCACTTTCAATATCATAATCTAAATTTGTAAGTGCATCATCAGTATTAAGTTGAGCGGAAAAAAAACTTGTAATTTTTGAAGTGCCAATTGCTGATTTGGTAAATGAGCTACTTGGTTCCTACTTATCATAATATGTTGATCTTGGTGTCTTACCAGCCTTATATAGACCTCATTTTTTTTTCTCAAATTCATTATTTACATTTCACTCTAAACACATAATTATGAATGAATAAATAAAAAAAAACAAATTATTAAAGTAAATGTCTTTTTTACCTAATCCTGCCTTCATAAATTTTAATTGTGTTTCCTTTTCTTTTTCTAAATCAGTTTCATCCTCCCAACTACTGTCATCATCATCTCCCCATTCTTTCATATCCATCTCTAGTCCAAAAATGTCATCATCAGCTTCCTCACTATTGTTTAATTCATTTTGTGTTGGAAACTGTTTATTGTTCATTTTTTTTTGGTCCAAATCTACCATCTGATGTTCAAGATTGCTTTTTGTAGAGTTTTTTTCATTTTTTAATAGGTGGCATTTTTGGTTAAATGAAAATATGTATGGGAAAAATGAAGATTTTCAATTTCTTCGTTAACTATAATTCATTGTTATACATGAAGATCAAATTACATCATAACTTCATGTGAAATTTAACATTTCAGTTTGTCTGAATTTTTGACATTAATTAATAAAATTATACATTTTAAAACTTTAATAACTTCACAAAAAATTCTATAGCCTAAAATTAAAAACGATTAATTAAAAGAGCGTAATCTAATCTATCATTTTATCAATGTTAATTTTAAAATTTACACAAAATGTAAGACTAGATAGAGTTTGAAGTTACACAAAATTTTTAATGAATATAGATGCACTGCACCATACCATATGTAGTGAAGACAGAACCCTGAACAATATATGTATATGTTAGATTTGAGATTGCTTATTGAACATAGAAAATTTTTGATTAAGTCACCTAAA